GGCTCAGTTGTCTTGTATATCTGTTTCTTATTCTGCACTGCTCTGCTCCCAAGGGAGCTTCCCTGCAATTGAAAGATCTCCACCCAAAACACCTGTATTAAAGAGATGTATTGGGGAAGGGGGAATCTAGGAGAAGAGCTGCCTCTGCAAGGTTGGAGAAGGACTGATAACTGAATAGACATAGGGGCTTAGGGATAGAGTTTTTTTTTTTTTTCAAGGAGAAGATTTTCTGCCCAGGGATTGGTTGGTTCCTGCTCAGGGATTGGTTGGTTTAGTTGGTCAAGGGCAGAATTGGCTCTGGTTTCAGGGCCAGAGTGTGTTTCTTTCACGGACCCTTTTTAGAATTTTGGCTCTAATTTCAGGGCCAGGGTGTATTTCTTTGACTGGCTCTGGTTCCAGGGAGAAAGTGTGTTTCTTTGGCTGTGGTTTCAGGGTCAGGGTATGTTTCCTTGGTTCTGGTTTCAGGACTAAAGTGATTCTTTCACTGGCTCTGGTTTCAGGGCTAGGGTGTGTTTCTTTGCCTGGCCCTTTTACCCTACAGGTGAGCTTCTCCAGAGGTCTCTACACAACCAGTCTTAGTCGTGGCACTCCTCTCTGCTGATCGGAAAGAAAAACAAGCTCATAATGTTTGTGGGAAACTCTGACAGTTCCAGGTTATCCCTATGAGGAGAAGCAAAGGGTCTCAGAGCAGGCCCCCACACAGACATGAGTGACCCTGGGAACTTTCCAACAACAATCTGATAGCAGTTGCTTGGGAAAAGAGTGCTATCATCCCATGTCATTTGAGTTCTCTGGTTTCAAGGACTGTGAACTGTACCTGCTCTCTAAGACTCCTTTATTCATACAGGCAGCTTCTCTCTCCCTGGAGTGACGTGTGCCTGAGATTGTCACAGCATTAGTAAGGTTGATAACCACAGTCAAAGATGGTCTTGGTGACATGCAGATTCCTGGGCTTTGGCCTAGACACTTTGGCCAGGCCAATAGTATAATAAGCCCTCTCTGCACACTGTTCAATTTATCAGTAAGACTCCATTGAGCCAGGACCTCATGAATCCCATCTAGGAAGTATCCAAGATGCTTATGACTGCATGTAAGCTAGGAGAGCATCCCTGACTTATACCTAAGGCTTTCATGTCCAAAGGCCCAGCAATTGTCTCCAGAGCCTTGGCTCTGCAGGGTGGCTAGGAAGGGTTCTGCCTGCTGCAGGAAATCCAGGCTGGTCTATCAAATAAGAGGCTTCAGCTCCCCAACTGCTACATGTTCTGGGAGACAGAACCTGAGAGCACACAGGGCCAAGTCAGGCCATGTTTTCACGTATTGCTCCGTCAGCCCTCTCTCCACTGTGAAGACAGGCTGTTCTTCACTTTTATTTATATTATTGTCTCTGGGAGGGTCTCTTTTAGCCCAAGCTTGCCTCAGACTCCTGATCAATCTGTGACTACTTCTCTGGTGCTGGGATCAGTGGCATCACCATACCACCATGGCTAGTAGCTCCTCTTTATTGGATGTTTCCTTCAGTGTTACCCCTTAGTGCCTGCTGACACTTATAACCTCCCATTATTGTCAGCTGAATGAAACTATTAAGGGAAGAAAAAGACAGATTGTTGACAGCTAACAATAATACAAATAGAATGCAGTAAGTGCTAAATGGTAGTGGAATGTGACAGAGACAGCAGGGAAGGAAGGGGGAAGGACGTTGTCTCCCTTCTACTGTCACAACATTGTCAATGTTTCCTCATTGAGGGTCTCTCTCCATTTAGAAAACATCAGAGATATGTGTGTGTATGTGTGTGTGTGTGTGTGTGTGTGTGTGTGTGTGTGTGTGTTCATTGTCACACACAGATCCAAGTCTTCATCTTTGCTCTATGTGAAACAAACCTTCCAGAACATCCAAAGCCTTTGTGGTCCCCCCAGCATCATTCTGGCTGCCTCATGTTCTTTCATCCAACATTTGTTTAAAAATCTCGACAGAAACATGGTTTTTCTTCATCATTTCCCCATAAATGTCTGTGTCACTTGACAAGACTAGGTTGAGAGTTGCCAGGTATGGAATTCTGTTCTCAAAACTTTATTACATTTACTCATCTGTATATTTATATATGTGTTTGCACACATGCGCAGAGCATGGTTGTAGGTCAATGGACAACTTGCAGCCATTAGTTCTCTACTCTCACCATGTTCATCCCAGGGTCATACTCAGGAGTACTGATTCTGTGAATTCCTTGGCTCTGGGTGGTGTATAGACTGCTCACAGCTAAAAGGAATGTGGATGACAACAGAAGGCAATGATAGTGACCTGGACCAAATTTGAATCATTCAGAACATGTCATCCTCATTAGAGGAGTCTGTCAGCATCAGTGAGGTATAGGGAAGCCATAGAGACATTTAGCATAACATATGCGCTCTTGGAGAAAATAAGAAAGATACAACAAATAATTGTTAGCCAGGTATCTATAGAAGATGTGTTTGGGAATTTGGGAGAAACAAAGGTCTTAGCAAATCTACAAATCTACATTCTCTTAATCTGTTTTTTTTTTTTCATTTTAATCTGAATATTGGCCTTCTTTATTTCTATGGTTCCTTGTCACCAAACTAAAATAAGAAAAAGTCCAAAATCACTCAAATGGAACATGAAGTAATATATTGATATGAGTGCATCAGATGGAGATATTCTAGCATAAATGAGAAATGGGAAAACAGTTGTCTTAGTTTCAGTGGGTCAAGACCTGGCACCCTCAACTACATGCAACTCAGAGAACAATTTCTGGCAGTTTTTTTTTATTCTTTCTATCAATAAGGTGGGTCCAAGGGACATAAAAGCATGTCTCCATTACCTTTACCTGCTTAGTCATTTTCCAGCCCATAATCAAAGCCTCAGATTTTAATAAACTATATATCTCTGTTTATGGTCTCTGTGTATATCTATCCTTCATTGGAAATATTCATCCTCAAAATAAATGTTTGCCACAGTTAACGAAGGCAAGGAACGGAGTTGGGAGAATTTTAGAAGCTTCTACGATAGCTACAGTTTGCTGTATTTCACTTCATAGGATGTAACTGTTAATTTTCTACCCTCGTCATCCATAATGTACTAATTTTCAACCTAACACATTGCACGTGCTAGGAAAGTATTCTGTCTCTGAGTTATATTCCTGGCTTGTAACTCCATTCATCTGCAACAGCTACTACAGGGCAGACATCCAGAGGAGCTTTAACTGTCAATTGTGCCCTCATAAGAATGGCCATGTGAGTAGCTGACAGAATGCTTTGAAGACTAGGCATGCTTATCTGAGATAGAAGAAGTATCCTAGTCCACATTACACACTCTACACAGTTTAGTCTGAGAAAGGTTGATAGGAAACTGTTATCTATCTGCACAAATGCAAGGAGAAGAAACCGTGCTAGTCTATCTGGTAGCATTTATCAAAAGAACCAAAGCTATGCTGAGTATTCACATGGAAGTAAGACATGACTGAACATAGGCTCCTTCCCAATAATGGAAAGATGGACAGGGAGACACATGCCACAGTTCAGTGATTGGTAGTGTAGGATGAATGAAGTCTCAGCTAGTTCCAGTGTGTCTACAGGTACTGTGACAGAGTCAGTGCAGAATGAGAAGTGACCAATGAAAGGGAGAAACTAAAATGAACCACCTTCTTCTCTGTCTTTAGAGATCTTAAGACCTTAGGTTTGAGAGAAAGAGACTGGAACTTGCAAGGATAATTCTTTCATACATTAACTCTCTGTGAGTCTCAGGTCAGATCCATTCCATGATCTATTCCAGGAGAACTTCAGAAGAATAAAGCCCTCATCTGAAAGAAACCTTTCCTCAATACACTGTGACTTCTGCTGTGATGAAAGAGTAGCATCAACCATCCCTCTCCCTTTCAAGCCTTGCAGAGATACACTCTCCGCGAGAGGCATGTGGCTTTTGCTGCAGATACCATCCACCCAGACAAATGTGAAGTTTCTACTTAACACTGATTAGCTTGTACATCACAGGTCTATCTTATGATATTTCCATCCCCAGGAGGGTCTTAAAAGTGCATTTCATCTGATGGGCCTACTCTGCACTGTCATCCAGATGAGAGGTGACATAACTGCTCTAACTCTGATAATAAGAGCTGTTGAGTGATGATCCTGAACCCAGGAGCACTCTTTTGAATGCCTGGCATCCCAAGAAGTTTCCCATGTCTACCTCAAGGTCCTGTCCCTACAATTCTCCAGAAACATCTCTCTTCGATTAGGTGTAATCCAGTCCAACTAATACACTAGAGAGGCTGGAAGGATAAAAGTCATGTGCAGGGGCTGGAGAGATCACTCATCCTTTAAGAGGATGTATAGCTCTCCCAGAGGACCCAGAAATCAGCTAACAATCTTCTGTGACTCGGTTTCAGGTGGAATCCACTGCCCTTTCTGGCTTCAGTGCAAACTGCTTGCTGGTAGTGCATAGAAAACTGGCAAAATATCCATATTCATAAATACAAGTAAATGAATCTCAAAAAAAATCCATGCAAAATGAATGGTCAAGGCAACAGCACATTAAAAAGACCACATCTCAATACGTCTTAGAGGGTTACTACCCCTGCATTGCCACTGTCACTGGTGCTCTATTTCAGGAAAAGAAAGGCAGACGGCTATAGGTTTCCTCATTTCTTCTATACTCCTGTAACAAATGTTCTCACTTCCTGAGATGCATTAGAAAACAGATGTATTTCTGAAAAATCTGCTATAAATGATCATGTCATGAACATGTGTGTATCTATTTTCCATTTTTTGGAGTAGATAGACATGTGAAGTCAGGTGTTTAATATGGATCTTTTTCCATCACTAAGTGGATACTCGTAGAGTAGGCCATGGGATTCACACCCAAGACATCATTCTGGTTTGAATCCTGTCTGGCTGGGAACTCACAATGTAGCCTAAGCCTCCTAGAACTTGCAGAGATCCATCTCTGTCTGTTGAGTTCTATGGTTACAGAAGTGAGACATCACACCCAATTACGAAATGTATTTTAAGAATGAATAGTTGTACATTGCCTTTTTATTCATGAAATTACAGAAATTTGACTGAATATGGGGTTTTAAAAAGGCATTTAGTACATCCAGTGTATAGCCTTAGCAAAATATAAAATCAAAGAAAGAACAAAAGAACCAAAAATAACAAAACATCAAAACAAAACAAAGAACATCAAAATCTCAATTCAAGAAAACCCAAAAACAAACCAAAACTATTTACACTAAGAAGCATTCTCATCATGCAGATTTAGTACAGGGTCCTACATCCTGTGGCTAGCTTTGGATACAAGTTGGAAGACAACCATGAATTGAAATGACCTCTTCAAGACAAGTGCAGTCATGCCACTTTGGGGCTTTGTAGGTTAAGTCCTTGCCAAGGTTGATCTTATGCTATGTTGGCCACTATATGAATCTGTCAGCCAAAATGTGTCTGTGTGCCGATTCAAGAGCAAAAAAGGACATGGGGAGCATCTGCTGCCCAAAGACATAAAAGCTCATGGTGGCATCCTTCCTAAATCATTTTCCAGACCAATTCACTTCACCACCACATGTGCATGAAACTGAGTAGGTCCAGCACTGGACTGGAGTAAGAATATGATGCTTCCTAAGTGTGGTCTGTCTGAATAGCAGCATGACATCAACACAGTCTTCATTGACATATCTTGCTGCACATATGAAGGGCTGAACACTCAGTCAGCTACCAAAAGTTTGTAGCAATAAACTTTCAGAATAATGATGAACAGAAACATATTCTCTCTCCATGTTGTTGTGACCCTCACTGGAAACACTTGCTCGTAGATGTCAGTTTTTCTGCATAATCCTTAGTGGATTTTTTTTATCTCAAGCATCTTTTTGATGGTTTCTCTGTAACTAGTGAGTCGGGAGACACATGGATCAGGTTATGGATGGACCACAGCAGGGCAGATGATATTTGCCTCACCGGTGATTTTACAACTAGTAGTATATGTCTTGTTTTGAGGAGGCCTTGATCATAGAGTGGAGAATGTCAGGGTTTCTAGTTGACTATGGATTCCTTCATCCTTCTCAGTTCTCATAAAGGGTGCTGTGAGAGAAGAAAAGGCAATCAGATCCAAAAAAGAAGCCTTGTTGGGTCTCTGGATAGACAAATTCGGGCCCTATCCACACATAGGAAACCAGAATCAAGGAAGAACTCCACCCCACAAATGCCATGTTGCTGGGGGTGGGATGTCATGGTGGTTCACTTACTTATGACACTTAGTGCTCCTGCTTCAGCAGCTCTGTTGTCAGGAGGCTCTCATCCTGAGCTGTGGATTGTTCCAGCTCATGTTGGAGATTTTCTGACCTAGAGGAGAAAGATAGTAAGGGCAGAGTCCTGGTGGGGATCCACCATGGCACCAGTCATTCAGTGATATCACAAGAACTCAATTGTGCTGGAGAGTCAACAATGATCTTTGGCAGCAGTCATTGTATATACCCCTAAGGAATAAGTGTCACACAATAGCTGGGCCTTGAATTATTTTCTGCCCTTAACAAATATCAGATGCTAATATGAGTACAATATGTACCATGGTATAAGAAAGAACAGGGCTTTTTCCTACACTCTAGGGACATCATTTAAACAAAAGGAGTAGCATATTAAAGTCATACATAACAGCACAGCAGAGATACACAGACTGTGCATGATTAGTTTATCATCAACTACCTCATTTTTTCCTTGTCCAATTTCTGTTTATTTCTTTCTAGGCAGGGTTACAATATGCATCTCTGGCTGACTCGATCCATATTCTAAGATGGCTACAAGAGGCCAGAGATTTCCTGCCTGTGTTCCCAAAGAACTTGGATGAAAGACATGCACCATCACACACACCTGTCCTTATTGCTGATTTTAATTGATATTATTTTATTTTTCTTTCCATGTTGTACAATGCTGTCACAGGTTTGATAGAGAAAACTTTAAAATTTCAAGCTGTGTTTCTTTTTTCTTTTTTAGAGGGATTACATGAGCAAGGGTGGAAAAGATCATGATGGGGAAATCTACAGAAACAACTGAACCAAGCCCAAAGGAAATCAGGAAATTTAGACTGACAGTTGTGGAATCTGCATGGGACTGGCCTAGACTCTCTGCATATGGGGGACAGTTGTGGAGCTGGTTGTGTTTGAGGGGCCCCTGGCAGTGTGATCAGGATCTATCCATGTTGCATGAACTGTCTTTCTGGATTCCATTACCTATGGTCGGACACCTTGCTCTTGCTTGATAAAGTGGGGAGAGGCTTGGTCTTGCCTCAACAGAATGTATCAGGCTTAACTGTCCTACCATGGGAGAATTTACCCTGCTGGAGGAGGGGATGAAGGGTCAGGGAAGAAGGTGAGTGGGGAGTGGGAGGAGGGAAGAAAGGGGGATCTGTGGTTGGTATGTAAAATGAATAAAAATAATTTTAAAAAGACCACCTCATTTTTATACATAGACTTAATACAGCTTTGCAAACTAGACAGCTTAATAAGGTCATGTGAAAAGATCAGGCCTCCTGCCCAGAAGGCACCTTGCACCCAGGTAATACACAAGATGGAGCCTGTCATGCTAGAGCAGTATTTCTTGACCATGTGTCTGAGAACATAGTCACTGCATGGTCTCTGGCAATAAACAAAAAGAGCTGTGTTATCCTTAGGCCTACAGCTGGGTATCTACATCCTGGTACTCTGTTATACAACACTCAGTGAAGGTTCTAAACAATTCTCAGCAGAGACATCCGCCTTGGTTCATCCTGTCAATGACTAAACTTATTCTATACCCAGTACACTTTACATGGGAAATGCTCAAACAATGAAGACAGTCAGTGTTACATCAAATAGTGACAAGGGTGTGAATCTCTGAATAAATATGTGATTTCAGATATGGTGATATACACCTTTAAATCCCATCACTTGGTAGGCATAAGCAGGCAGAGCTCTACAAGTTCAAGGAAAGCCTGCTGAGAACATACCAGAGAGATAAGAAGGGAGGGATGGGACACAAGTCTACAGACCCAGGGAGTATCAAACATATTGATTGCTGGACAGAAGTTCTTGTTGACGGGACCAGCATAATTCTCTGAGTTCTGAGTTGGTCTACCCATGCTTGGAGAAGGGAGTCATGCTGATAAGCAAAAGCCCACAAAGGACAGAGAGCCCTGGTACAGGGGACCCAATTGGCTCCATACCCCAACTTCAGCCTGGGTTCCTACCTCATCTGAGAGACAGTCAAATGATGCTGCAGCTTTAATGCCAGGTGTTTCTGCTGTGTGACCAGCTCCCTCTGCTTCAGCAAGCTCTGGAGTCTCTCTTCCATTCTTTGCTGCTCCTGTTCATTACAAGATTGTGTTCTTATTGGAGGATTGAGTATAGTATAGACAATACATTCTCACACAAGTGCAAGCACACACAGAGAATCCCAAGAGCTTGCTGGTCAGTCAATCTCATGAAATTAAAAGCTCCTGGGGACATGAGAAAGCCTGCTTCAAGTTCATAAGACCGAGTCTGACAAAGAGAGAAACCCAGTGGTCTCTTCTAGCTGTCATCCACATACAATATGCACTATACTTCCATATGCCTTCATTACATACACACAAATACAGAGAGAGAGAGGGGGGGAGAGAGAGAGCGAGAGCGAGAGCGAGAGCGAGAGCGAGAGCGAGAGCGAGAGCGAGAGCGAGAGAGAGAGAGAGAGA